TTAATTTATTAATATTCTCACTTTAAAGAATTTTAAAAACTGACAACATTTAGACCATTACTAGAGCATAATCATAAACTTCGGACTCTTCTGTAGTTCCTGTAAAACATCAGTCCACACACAGCTGTGAGGCACACAGGTTTTTGCACCAAATAAACAAGTTTTTTTTTCTCCTCCTGGACATTCAAAGGTACGAGCTGGGAACTTGGTTTGGATGCCACCCTAAAAATACGAACATATTTCATATGTCCTAAAAGCTCAGACTAGTTAAAACAGTAAGTGCCTGGTTGACAAGTCTACTCTACATTTAGCCGACGCATCAACATCACCTACAAGAGAAATATTGGTCACTAACGCACATACGGTTATTTTACATTGCAGAGATCACAACCACAACATACTGTAGGCATTAAAAAGAGAACAGATGAGCAAAAAACGTCTTCATAACTGAGTTATTTTACAGAAAGGGAGGGTTTTGATGGCGTTTAGTTCCCAGAACACATTGAGGTAACGCTCACGTATGATCCGGTGTTTCCCAGTGGAAATGTCATTTTGAGACCAAGGTAACCATTTCTTCCTAATACTCACAAAACTGCAAAATTTGTCAGATTTTAATGGTTAACTGATCATACATGAGTACAGTCCCTCAGCGCCGCAGGTCATCTCTGAACGGCCTAAAAACGGACGCTGTGAAGACGCACGAGGCTGACAAAGATGATGAAAACGACGTGCGGCGGCTAAGCGTAGGACTGTGAGAATATACAGCATCGTGGGTAACATGGATGAGTCATATCTGGAAAATTAGGTGCAAACTCTGCAATTACACAATAAAACACACCTTGAAAAACACAAAGAACGACTGTAGAATGAGCTCCTTCACAAAAGTTTCTAAAAAGACTATTCTCTTTTCTCCAGCTCAGAGCAGCAGCACTCGGTCATTTCCTCATTTCTTCTACTCTTCACTTGCGTCCCTTTAGTTTGACTTCTTTCAGTTCACTTTTACACCCATTATTTCCTCTTCCTCGTCCTAATCCACGTAGAGGTGTCTCAATTTCACCTTTCCTCTCAACTCCCGCACACTTTTAGCACTTCCCCCTCTTGCCGCGCTGTTGAAACTTCCTCAGCCGACGACCCCACAGGTCCTTCCAAGGGATGAGCAGGCTTCCCTTGTCGGCGACGACCCCGCTCTGTCCGGGAGAGTCGTCGTCTGTACCCAGGAGCAGGTACTTCCTCCCAGGCTTGATCTTGGGACATTTGCAGGCCACGTCTTTGGCGCGCACCCACAGCAGCTGGTCTCCACGGCGGATGCGATGCTCCCCTTGTTTGTACACGGAGATGATGTTGACGGTGAACTTCCACCATTCGCCGGCCTTGTCTCCTTTAAGAACGTGCACTTGGACAGCTGAAGGAAGAAAAAACAAAGGCCAAGTTGTACTTTAGTTAAAAAACATTAAATTCTAACTCCACTTACCAGTTATAGATACAGTTTTGCTTTTGAGAGGCTCTACATTTAAAGCTAAAATAAATAAAAACTGATGCACATTTTTTCCTTACCTCACAAACTTCTGTAATGAATGAACCTAATTTGCTTAAATTTTCAAAAAATATTTAATAAACATAAAAATGAAAAATAAATATGCTAATCACATTCTTGTTGAAACAACACCACTCAGAAAAAACACTCAAGAAGCATCAACAGTTTTAGGCAAACCATGTTAGGTAACCATCCGTAACAGCCCAATACGTATCTCGTAAATACTCTATAGTATAGCAGTATAGGGTACAGTATGTACCTTTTAGTACACAGTACGTACCAAGTGCTGTATTTAATAACAGCCTAATATGTATCAGGTTTGTATCTTGCAATTACCAGGTAAATACCTGAAAGGTAGATATATTATGCATACCTCAAAGGTATGAGGTATTTTACCAGTTCTGTCTTCGTTATGTGCCCCATACATACTCCATGCCCTTTGTCCAACACTGAACAAGCAGTACGCTGATGTCCCCCGTCGCTGAAGGATTTGAATAATGAATGTTTATAGTTTTGGAGATGAGCGTTGTTGTTTTTGGACTGGAATTGAACAGGGAATGCAAGTAGATCAAGTGGATACGAGTTACTGTACAATGTGTACAAGAACAGAGTACAGAGCAGAGTGAGGGATCCTGGCAACGCCACCACTGAATAATCTTCAGCCACTCCAATCATTTGAGAAAACGACCTTTAGGCAATATAAAAACTAGAAACCATAGTTTCCTCAAATGATCGGGGTGGCCAGTTTATATACATATGGCAGTGGCCATCTTGGATTTTGATGTGGCAGCCCAGTTTTTGATAGTAACCTTTTTTTTTTTTTACACCTCGATGTAGCCACACACCATTTATTTTCCAAGTTTTGTTCACAGCTTGCACTGTTGGAGGGAGTTTCCCATTCCCCTTCTTCGCTCCACGATGGGGGACAATAAAAACTTGTTCAATGATGACTCAAAGACCTGCAGCATGTCCACGGCCCCTCCCTTGATCTCTGACCTCTGACCTCTCCTTGTTGTGAAAATTCTCCCCGGCGTGCAACTGTTTCCATAGCGCTCCCTGCCTGCCTGTGGAAACACAATGGGTTTCTGATGTGGAACATCTAAAAGCTCGTGTCACTAACGGGTGACCCGGCTCGGTCAAAGGTGGGCGAGATGAATATTTGGGGTTTTTCTCATTTATTTTTTTTGCAGACAAATGCCACATCTAATTCCATTACAGCATCTGAAACTAAATTATTTCCAAATGTTCTGTCAGGTGTGAAACTGCAGTCTGAACATCAGAACACTGCGGGCCAAATTACATCGAGCCTGGTAACTATTGGGATCTGCTTGTGGCAGATATTTTCATACCAGGAAATGAGTAAAGCTCCCCCCCACGAGAAGCTCCCCTGCACAGATTCTCTGCTCGACAAAACAGCTATTACTGTGTCGCTGTGATTGGAACAAGAGGCAAACAGCTCAGCTGCACCACAGCTAATCTGTGCTTGAAGTGAAGTGCTTTAGTTCAGCTAGGAATGTGCAATTATCGCTTAAGTGGTAGGGTTGACTTAAAACTGTGGGAATCAGGTTAGTCATAAGAGGACTGCATTAGACTCAACACCTAACAAATCTGTTCCTATCACTTTCATTACTTTGTTAATTTTAATACAGGTCTGACATGCAGGAAGGAACAAACTTAATTTCTGAAAATATTTCAAAAGCTAGCTACCGCTAGAAATTCCAACATATATCACCTTTATTCTACAAAGCCCAAATGTAGAGTTAGGACTTGTTTTCTAGTAATTTAAGAAGATAAACAACTGACATATTGGTGCGTAAACTGAATAGAACGTGTAATGAAAACAAGGTCAAAATAAATTTAAAGCTGCTGCTTGTGGTTCATTAGGGTCACCATGGTAACAACAATTGCTTCTCTTTTCTTAACTTATCAGACAGACAAAAATGCAGATGAGAAAATATGCCTCAAAGGAAAAATAAGACAAAAGTGAGAAGTGTTGTTGAAAAAAGTCCAATACCTTAAAACCTGCATATTTTATGTTTGAGGTTGGAAAGATTTTACAGATCCTTCACTTGTAGTTTTGAAAATATTATTCAGGGCTTGTATACGATGAAGTCAGTGAGTGTGTGGATGTACACGCTCTGCGCTCGGGAGGGATTTAAAAGGAAAACATACGAGAGACACACTGGGTAAAAGAAGACAAAAATGCCTGTGATTCGGCGAATAACATGTACAAGAAATATAAATTTCTTAGGAGTAAACTGTTGGCTTACAAAGGTTTTGAGAATTTTAACTGAAAAATTAAACATTTTTTTAAAAACCTTTATTTATACAGGTTAGTCTCACTGAGTCACGAGGACTCGTTTTCAAGAGAGACCTGCTTTAGACAGACAATGTATAGAATACAGACAACGATAAACAATAAAAAGCAATTGAAATAAAAAGTTGTGTTATAAAAACAATAAAATCGAAGTGCCACATAAAACAAGGTTAAATACTAAAAACAAGAACATATTTGCTTTGATTGCTCTAATGACCTTATCAAATGCTTAAAATCTCTTAAATAAATCAAAGTGGACACCTTCAGTTCTTGTTGTAAGGTGTTCCAGGTTAAAGGAGCAGATTAAGAAAAGGACTTTTTGCCAAGTTCAGTCCACACTAAAAGGATGCTGCAGGTAATGAAGGCCTGAGAGCGCACGCTGTAACTGCAATGATAATGTGACATGTTGGAGGAGAAGTGTCCAGTTAACCAGTGAATACAGTGTGCAGTGGTGGGTACGATAATCACAGCCAGTTATGAATCTTAGTGCACCATGATAGACAGCATCCAACATCTGCAGGGTTCTTGTAGGAGTGTTCATGTAAATAATGTCACTGTAATCAATAGTTGGTAGGAAAGTTGCAGCTACAAGGCGTTTCCTGCCATTCAGAATTTCACAGTTAGACAAGATCTATTTCTGGAAAAGAAACCCAGTTTCAATTTCAGTTTCTTTAACAAGTTTTCATCATGAGGCTTAAAAGAGAGATGTGCATCAATTAAATTTCTCAAGTATTTGTAAGAGTCCACAAACTCAATATGAACACCATGCATGGATGAGATACGAGGAAGAACTGCTGGCACCAACTTAGTGACATTATGGCACTCAAACCTAAACGTTCAGGGTAAAACTTCCAAAAATCATGATGCTTACACTGCAGTTGAACTGTTAGAGACATCAAAATGCCAGTTCAGTCTCCAACTTTCTGCAACCTTTTTTAAACTTTCAATGACGTGTCTACTGTGAAGTCTGTCCACTACAAAACACTTGTTTTACCAAAACCCCTTTGCTGTATTGTTTTATTCAAATTTTGTCTACAACGTATACACAACATGCTTTTTTTCAAACAGGATGACGGTCCCAGCTGTTCTTCCTTTGATTTTATCCTTGAATTGTGTTCCTATTGATTTAGTCAATTCCTACAAATATTTGGGTATCTTGGTCGACTCGCATCTCTCTTTTAAGCTCCACGTGGAAAACCTGGTAAAGAAACTTAAAGTTAAACTGAGTTTCTTTTTCAGAAACAGATCCTGTCTAACTCTGAATGTTAGGAAACACCTTGTATCTGTGACTTTCCTTCCCTCCATTGACTACGGAGATATTATTTACATGAACGCTCCTACAAGAACCCTGCAGATGTTGGATGCTGTCTATCATGGTGCACTAAGATTCATAACTGGCTGTGATTATCATACCCACCACTGCACCCAGTATTCACTGGTTAACTGGACATCATTAACTTCACGCAGACTCTCCCACTGGTACATTTTCATCTTTAAATCACTTCTTGGTCTGTTGCCTTCATACATCTCCTCCTACATGTCTCTGTGTGAGTGCAGCTACAGCGTGCGCTCTCAGGACATTATTACCTGCAGTGTTCCCTCAGTGAGGACTGAACTAGACAAAAGGGCCTTCTCCTACTCTGCTCCTGTTTCCTGGAAATCTTGCAAAAAGATCTGAAGCTCTCGACCTTGACCTCATAGCTGCCCACTGCTCCACCTGGGTGTATCCCAGGTGCGATGGGTTAAATGCAGAGAGCCAGTTTCATCTTTGTATGGGAACATACAATGATGACATCACATAGCACTTTCTTATTTATTATTATACACTAACACCATAATTAATTTTCTTCCAATTGTACAATAAATGATCTGAAGTTGGCAACAAGCTCATGTATTAATAATAAAACAAGAAAAATTAACATTTTCTCCCTTTTTTATTTGAAAGTAAGCTAGTCTTTTCTTCAACTTTGTACTGTGATCATTCTCAGTCTTTATCAGTTGTTTCCTGACACGGCCAAAAATGAAGAGGACCGGAGTAGCGGGGTGTTAAAGTGTGTGTGTGGATGCATGGTGTGAGCAAATTGCACACAATGTCAGAAGAAAGAAGGTTTGTTGAGCTGAGCAGAGCGCGCTCTCACAGCCCGGCCATTCACTGCAGGCCTCTCCTTCATCCTGACACATAAAGGGTGCGCGATGGGGAAGGGGGTGGAAAGCAGGGGCCACTATTTGTCTTCACAGCCACAGAGAAAGCTCCTGGAGAATCGGGATGTGTTTCCGACCTCATGAGCTGTCCTGGGGCTCTGCTCCCAGAGCTCCATCCAACTTTGCAGCGTGAGAATCCAGCAGAGCCGGGGCTCTGCTCCCCCAGGCTGCTGCCGCCCCCGAGGACACAGCCTCTCTGTCAGGGGCTGCGTCTCCTGCTTTCTCTCTCAAGTGTGTTTTCAGTCTGTGCCTCGTATTAAAGCACACACAAATCCACACACACACACCTTGTGCCACTGGGTTTAGGTTAAATGGATACCAGTAGGAAAAAAAGGAGCGCAGTGTTTGG